AGAATGTGTCCTTTTATTCAAAATGCATCTCTGGCTAATTTGTGGAGCATAGGAATTCATTTTTATTTTTATTTTCAAAATATAGTCCGGCCCCCAACAAGGTCTGAGGGACAGTGGACCGCCCCCCTGCTGAAAAAGTTTGCTGACCCCTGGCCTAGATCATGGGACACCCCATGTCAGATGAAGGTAACCTAGAGAAAAGGGAGCTTTGCTGCAGTTCTAAACTGCTGATATGTGCTGCATAGCCTGGCCAGACAGAGATATACAGTGGTACCTCAGGTTACATACGCTTCAAGTTACAGACTCCGCTAACCCAGAAATATTACCTCAGGTTAAGAACTTTGCTTCAGGATGAGAAGAGTGGTGCTTCAGGTTAAGAACAGTTTCAGGTCAAGTACGGACCTCCGGAACAAATTAAGTACTTAACCTGAGGTACCACTGTACCATAATTTTCTGCCCATAAGACGCCCCCATGTATAAGACTATTTTTGCGGGCTCAAATTTAAGAAAATGGGGGGAGATGGCACAGAGTCTTTGAGCTTTTTTGGGGGGGGGTTTACCCAGGGTTGTTGAGCTTTCTAAAGGGGGGATTGCTGAAAATCGCTCACCCGCATGTGTCCAAAACTCCGCCTCTTGTCAGAAGCGGCCTATTGCCCGCCCAATTGCCGCAGGGACAGCCAATCAACACCAGACATTGACGCAGCAACCAATAACACACCCAATAGCTGTTGAAAGCCATGGCAGCAACCAATCAAACGTCTACCCTATGCACTATTCATGTATAAGAAATAAACTAGTCTTATACACAGAAAAGTACAGTACTTTGCTGCTACATCCCTGGGGCTTTCTGAAGCTGAAAGGAGGGCTTCTGCCATTTGTATCCTTGTGTAAAGCAGGGTCTGGTATTCTTGTGTCAAGATCCTTTGGCCTTTGGCAAAACAGAAAGGTAGCTCTGTTTTTGATACAAATGTCTGGGCACATTTTTGCCTCCACAAAGGGAATGGCTTCCACATGAAGCGTGTGTGGTCCCAACATGGGATGACCTTCTTTGAAGAACCGTAGCTCCCTGGTAGAGCACCTGCCTTGCAAGCAGAAAGTCCCAGCATCTACCCCCAGCATCTCCAGGTAGGGCTGCAAGACCTCAAGAGGGCCCACCAGCCTCTGGCCCATCTGTTCTGTGAGTCACCATTTAAATACTGCAGAATGCCACAGAGTAGCACTATACTGGGTGCCCTTGGGCACTGTGGGAAATAAAAAAATCAGCTCCTGGACATCACTGGGGGGCAGTGTTGCTGTCACCACCATGCAGATGCCTAACGATGGCTCAGACCGGAAGGAACTTTAGGAACCCAAATCAGACTATTGGACCATCCAGCTCAGTACTGTCTACAGTATCTGGGAGAGGCTTTCAGGCAGGGGGTCTCTTCCATTCCTTCTTGGAGATGCCAGAGGTTGGACCTGGGACCTTCTGCATGAAAAACATGCACAATGCCACTTAGTTGTGGTCTACTTCCAAAGATGAAGTAATATTCTAGTCTCTGTGGTCCTGAAGAGCTGGTTTTAAGTGGGGACCTGGAAAGCTGGCCTTATTCTGAACCAGACTATTGGTCCATCCAGTGCAATATAGCCTACACTGACTGGCAGTGGCTCTCCAGGGTTTTAGGCAGGGGGACTTATCCCAGTCCTGTTTGAAGCTGTTGGGGATTGAACTTAGGACCTTCTGCTTGCAAAGCAGATGCTTACACCAGTGAGCTACAGCCCTCAAACTTTACTCAGGAACATACTGATTCTGAATCTGGCCATGGCAATTCGCCTACCACCTGGTTCTCTGGCGTGGGATTTCCCACTGTGGATCGCCCCACCTTCCCCCCATCTCCCACCAGGCTAATGGCCCAAACAGGCCAACCAACAGGAACCAGGAAGAGAGACATGGTAGACAAGCAGGAAACCAGACCAATGGGAGAAACTGGATTTGATTGTCACTTTAATCTTGGCTGACCAAGGCATGCACTGTAAAATAGGATGATATTCAAGGCTGGGTTCTTTAACCACATTTATTGTCACTTGTTTGAGTGTCTCCCTCGCCCCTTTCTCTTTAATATATAAAAAAGTAACAGGTTTGGACATTTTTACAATCAGGATTCAGGGTGGGTGGGGTAAACCATAAATATACACCATCAGACCGAGGGAGGCTGGTTGGCAGAACAGCAAAGTCAAGGAAATTTTTCAGCAAGCTTGAAAATGCAAGGAATGCCTCATCTTTTTTGAAGCACAGAGTCACAACTTGAACTGGGGGAAAAACCCCACCACCTCTTCCTCCCTTTGCCCCCAATGCCTTCGCCCCCACCCCAATTTAACTAAAACCCCATCCCTGCCAAGGGAATGACTGTGAGAGCACCACAGTAAATGTGCTGAAATTAACACAAACCAACAGTAGGAATCTGAAGCTGGGTATTTTTTTTGCAGTAAATGCAATTTTTATGGGTTCAAATTCCAGCACATATTTTTCTTTAAAAAGCTCCAATGCCTAGGGTTAACAATCATTTTAAACTTTCACCTGTCTACCCGCCCACCCAATTCTGAACGGAGCAAGGGTTAGAGGAAAGTCTGGAAGCCTTTGGTCTACAAATCCCATTACCCACCACCACCATGTAACCCCAAGCTGGCTACAGGGTCGGATGGGAATTGTGGACTGACAACCTCTAGCAGGCTAGACTACAACCGGTGGGGCGTCCCTGGCTCTATCCACTTACTCATGAACCAAGACACAGGGGCAAAGGCTCACCTAACCCTTCGCTCCCCAATGTGAAGTGCAATTAGGTGACTAATAGTATCATTCTGAAGCTGCCAGGGTATGAAAGCTGCAGATTCTGGTGAGGGCCAGAACCCCTCCAAAGGCGGTAGAAATGTAAGGACATTTTTAGGTCCACCTTAGCTGCAAGACTGAGGGCAAATACAAAACATCCAATATTTTCTCAGGGGGGAGTCCTTCACCAAACTCTTCTCACTCCAACCCCAGACCTCCTGATGTCACTGGCAACTTGCACAGGAGGTTCACCCACGCATGCCCATCTGTGGCAAGTTGAAATGAAAGACACACACAAGGGTATAAACGGCAACATATTGCCTGCTGCAAAACACCCTTTAAATTAATAAAACAAAATAAAGTAAGATGAGCTGCACAGTATTACGCTGGAAGATTCTGCAGAGAAGGTTGGGGCCAAGTGAGTAGTCTGCTTCTGCCCAGTGGATTTCCTCCTCCCAATTTTATTCACAGGACAAGGAAAGAGATAGAAGCCTCTGCCTCAAGAGATAACAAAGCCATTGGCTACAGTTAACAAACTGAAAAGCAAAAGTCATTCCCAAATCCTGGGCAGGCAAGTCAGGAGTCCACGTCTTGAGCCCAACTTTCAACAAATTGCTTTCAAGATTATTTGGCATCAAGAAAAAAAAAAACAACTGCTCTGTTTAGGCCCCCTTATATTATATTAAAAAAGAGAGAATGTGAGCTGGTTTGGATTTAACAATCCTAATTTGCTAAACCAGCAGTGCATTGTGGTTTCTTTAAACTAGGCTTGGGGAACTTTTGGCCCTGCAGATGTTGCTGAACTACAGTTCCCCTCATCCCTGGCCACACTTGCTGGAGCTGATGAGAATTGTCTTCAGCAACATCAGGAGACCCCAAAGTTCCCCATGCCTGCTTCAAAACCCAAAGCTTCCTGTTGACTCCAAAATGTTGTGATTTAATCCTTGGGCTCCAAATTTGATGTAATAAACCAGGATCAAATCCTGGCCACAGTAATATTCCAGCTGCAACAAGAAACTCTGGTCTAAAATAACCATGATGAAAGGGTCAAAGGCACAGGAGTGAGAAGGGGGCACAACTCTCATTGCCGGGCCAGTAAAGTTTTATTAAACCAGGATCATTATCTCTGAGCTGGCTCCCATATCAGCCGCAGCTCCTGTGAAGGTGACCTGTAGCCAAGTAGATGCTTGCTTGTTGCTCAGACCAAGGACCCAGTGTGACCTGGAAGCTGTTTTATGTAAGGTGAAGACGCTGGACTGAGGTGGCTGATTTCAGGTGCCACAGTGGGTTAGCAGATTGAGATGGACAGATATGACTCATTTGGGGAAGAAAAATCCATTGGGAAGTTCTTCTACAGAAGCATCAATGAAATAAATGGAAGATGCGAAAGAGTGTTCTGATGCAAGTCTCTCCAACCCACTTAATTTGAGGCAGCTTTTCAACTGTTTTGCCCCAATTGGATGGCGCAACAGCTCCTCACAAATGTGCCCTCCCACCCCAAGTTCTCACTTTGGTTTTTGACACCACCCCCATCTCAGCCTGATGCTTCCAGACAGCCAAGTATTTTGTTTGCTTTGTTTTCCTTTACGCGTTGCTTAGCACTTTGAAGTTTCTTCTTAAAAACCCCATGGGCCACTCAGTCATGCATCCAAAGAAAAAGGAAAGGAAACTGATGATGTTGCCTAGAGGTTCGTATTTACAGACGGTCTCATTTTCTACATGTTTACTGCATTAACAGCTAGTACCATCGCTACAATAAGGGCCCCCATAGCGAGTACAAGGGGGTGGATGTCACAGAACCTCAACAATTCCAGATTTCCTGAGTCAAATAAGAGTAAAGAGATTCCAGGTGAATTTGGGGAAGATCCAGGTGAATTTGGAGAAGATCCAGGTGAGTTTGGGGAAGATCCAGGTGAGTTTGGGGAAGATCCAGGTGAATTTGGAGAAGATCCAGGTGAATTTGGAGAAGATCCAGCTGAGTTTGGGGAAGATCCAGGTGAATTTGGAGAAGATCCAGCTGAGTTTGGGGAAGATCCAAGTGAATTTGGAGAATATCCAGGTGAATTTGGGGAAGATCCAGGTGAATTTGGAGAAGATCCAGGTGAATTTGGAGAATATCCAGGTGAGTTTGGGGAAGATCCAGGTGAATTTGGAGAAGATCCAGGTGAGTTTGGAGAAGATCCAGGTGAATTTGGAGAAGATCCAGGTGAGTTTGGGGAAGATCCAGGTGAATTTGGAGAAGATCCAGGTGAATTTGGGGAAGCGGTGACAGTGGTGGACATACTGTCCAGAGGGCAGCTGCCCATCTTGTTCCTTTTCCACATTGGTGATGGGGGCCATTTGATTGATTAAATATCCCTGTAAACATGTAAGACTTTGCAAGGGTAGAATGTTACTTCACTCTTTTTTCCTTTTTCCTTTTCCTCCCAGTGTCTGTGGGTGGGGAAGTATTGTGAAAAATGGTTCTCCTCGGTTATGACCTTGACGGCAACCCATTTTTCATCCCTCACACATGCTAAATGCCCACTGGGCGAGACCATGGGCACGTCAATACATGGCTCAACGCAAGATGCAGCAACTTCGCTTCCCTCTCGTCGTGTTGCAGTGCGAGGAGCGCAAGAAAAAAAAAGTTCAGATTTGGCAAAAGTGGGAACACTCTGGCACTAAAACAAAACAAACCCTGACCCCTTTTCCTGTGTGCTCCCTTTTCAGGCAGAAAAGCTCATCTATGGCACTGAGGAAGGAGAGCAGGACGCTGCTTTGGTGACTCTCCCCTGCGGCCTGATGGGAAGGGAGCCCACAGCTGCCGCTGAGACAACTCAACCCCTGGGCTGGGCCCAGGAGGGGAGGAGGTGGGGGAATGTGGCCCGGTCACAGGTCCAAGTCTCATAGCTGCCGTCTGTGCAGGCGCCCAGTGATCCTTTTGCCCATGGCCTTCATTAGCTTCCCCTCTAGGTTTTCTCCTCCCTGTCTGTCTTCCGCCTTGTGATGTTTCGAGGCTTGATTTTGAGCGAAAGTTCCCACAAGGCCTCCTCCGCCAGGTGGTCGCTGAAGTCATTGAAAAATGAGATGATGTCATCATTCCGTTTGATGTCGTAATGCCTGCAGCAATGAGAGAGAGAGAGAGATGTTTTATAACAGAAAGTGCTGCTTTATTCAGGACTGCCCCCTAGCTGGAAGCCAAAAGAATGCAATCTTCAATTCACTGCCTGCCCACCCCAAAAGGCAAAGCTCACTGATATAACCAGAACATAAAAATTCTGCAAGCCAAGCATCCAAAATCCTGTGCTAAGAGAAGTCAGATACTGTGGTCTGTATAAATTGGACAGATTCACCTAATTCCCCTCCTTCACTATCTTCCTTGGCTGCTTCTGAGGGTGCAGTAAATGTCTCCAAATGGTTAGGTTAAAATAAAAAGCTGGTTGGTTCTCTGCCTGCCCAGCGGTATCCGTTACAAGGCTACTATAGACGTAATCCCGTAAATGTCTACAACACGACAAGCATGGGGAACGAGGTGCCCTTCACACATCAAGAGGTATTTCCTGTCTTCCAATATACATGCAGGTCCTGCTTACCAGCCACAATGCATTTCCTGGAAATTGTTAGGCAAATGCTTGCATAACAAGTCCATGATTTCCACTGATTCTTATGGGAACATTTCTAATCCATGATCTCTCTCTCCCCCCTCCCACCACGGCTTCTTCCTTAAATGGCTGCAGTCAACCAGCAAAGAGACAAAAGAAAAACTCTCCTGCTGTCTGATTTGTCCAACCTCTCTCCCTGTCTCCATGGCTTTTGCCTGAAAATGACTGTTGGTGACCAGCAGCAAAGTTGTGGCTAATAGTTTCTGGCTTTAACCGAGTGGACAGTGAAGTGAAGTGTAACTCTCCACCCCCCACCCTTTTATAAAATGCCAGTCTAGACAAGTTTCTTGCTCTTTGCTATAGTCACACATCGCATGCTCCTAGTCCTCAAGTGTTCATAGGTGTGCACAATGCAAGAGAGCAGTGGGTACCACTTACACTTGCTGGAAGCACCTCATGCTGTCCAGGATGTTGAACTGCTGCCAGCGCTTGGAGAAGTTGACTTTGCCATCAATGTAGTCCGGATTCCCCAAGTGGACAAAGGTCAAGTCTTGCAGTATGAGACCTCTGGAGAGAAAGAGGTGTGAAAGTGGAAGATGAAGGCCTTCTGTTATGGTTTGAAATGACCAGTGTGTTCACATAGGTCTATTAATATCTCTGGGTCCAACCCAGAGGGCAGGACTTCAGTTACAGGAGGGTAGATTCCTGGTGAACACCAGGAGAAATGTCTTGATGGGAAGAGCAGTTTTAAAAGGGAACTGTTGACCTAAAGCAGGCGTGGGGAGCCTTTGGCCCTCTGGATGTTGCTGAACTACAACACCCATGATCCCTGGCCATGCTTACGCAGTCTGATGGGATCTCTGCTCCTGACCTGGAGGGATAGTGGTCTCTCATTTGCTGTGAGAGATTTGGCCAGCCATCTGTTGGTGGTGACCTTCCTCTGGACTTCCCCAAACTGAGCAGCAGGTGAGGTGGACCAGATGGATTGCAAGACTCCCCTTGCAGCCAGCAGTGAAACCCCAGAGAATGTTTGTCTGTGTGAGCTACTCACAAGTAAGGTATGCAAGGCGGCTCCACCTCTGAGAGGGCAGCTCGGTATGCCCGGAAGGAGGAAGAACTGTCAATCAGAGTGCAATACTCAGCCAGACCCTGGCAGGAGACACAAAACATGAAGACATAGCATGAATTGTCTGAGAGACTGAACACATTTGGATGCTCCACAAATCCAGGTGGGTCGGAGGCAAAAGATGCACCTCTCTGTATTCTGCTATGGGACACAGAAGAATCTAGCACCTCAAGAACCTCATTCCTGCCAAACAGCAACAAAAACGAAAAAGCAAGTGGCTAGCAGCTCTCATGGTTGTGGTGAAAAACTTAAGGGCACACACTTTACTACACAGTGTTTCCCGTCAACAGCTGATGATTGGTGGCAGCCCGTCTTGTTACTGCAATCCACTGGAAAGAAACTCAAGAGCTTGCGCTAGACAAGGGATACCACCTTTTATGGAATATTGAGATTATACAGGAGAAATCACGCACATTCCAAAATATTGACAAGGAGGATTATCAGCACCAGACTCTTTTCAAATGATGTGAACTCTTTTATTTCTTACACAGCGAGTGAAACTTTCTCTTCACAACTGTCTGCTCAAGCTTGGGAGATTTGGAATTACATCTGACCGTAATATGCTGTCTTCTTCTCTTTCATGTATACTGAAATTGTGGTGATCCAAATGTTTAATGTTTGGTTTGTTGTTTTATAATGTGGATGGCAGGAACAGGGAAGTTGCTTAATTTGGTTTTTTTTAATTATGGTTTTCTCCCTTCTTCCCCCACCTCACTCCTTCTTTCTCCCTTCTTTCTTTTTCCGTTTTGCTCTTCTCTTTTGCTATGCTCCTGTTGTCATTTTTTATGTACCGTCACTGTTGAAAATACTATAAGAAGCTATTTACCAAAAAACAAACAAGCCCAAAACGAGTTGACAACTGGCAGCAGAAGGCATTGAGTGGTCCCTTTGAAAAGCACTGCCTTTAAGGCAAGGTGTACATGTTAGCCAATGCAGTACCCTCCAGATGTGGTTGGGCTACAGCTTCTGTCATCCCTGGCTGGCTAGGCCTGATGGGGTGGTGGAGGAGTCTAACAACATCTGGAAGGTTTTGTTCATACAAAACATCTTCATCTGCTTCAAGGAGCAAAGACTGAAGTACCAGGGAAGAGCAAAGCGGGAGTGAGCTCCTCTGTGGTATGCAGAGTGTGGCTTCTGAATTTGGCTAGACAGCTGACTTTACCTTTTGCAATCCCACACAGAGAAATATTAGTAGAGTAAAAATAGCAAAGTTGCTTATTTTAGGAAGTGCATTAACTTGGACAGAAAAGACTGTAGTTTTATGCTAACTAACTAGTCAAGAGGAAACAAAGGCAGCCATGCTTGCTCTTTGTTCTTTCTAGTGCTGGACTTGTAACTTTTGGAAACATAGGACGAAAACATTTTTGAAAAGATATATATTGAAAAACCGACCTCTGAGGTTTGTTTCTGCCACTCGAGCCTCCGGATGGGTGCTGAATCCAGGGCAGAGAGTATAGCCAAGTAGGAGTTGAAGTTGTTGAGCTTTCGTAAGTGCTGGAGCAAAACGGAAAAAAGAGGACGAAGGGTTGGAGGTGTTCCAAGGTGTTCTGGGGTGGGGGGAGAAGGTGGCAGTGTGGCATAGTAGTTAGAATGCTGGGCTTGGGCCTTGGAGAGACCAGGATTCAAATCCCCACTTGGGCAGGAAGCTCACTGGGTGGCCTTGGGGCAGTCACTCTGCTGCTTAGCCAACTACAAGGTTCTCCTCACAATGTTGTTGTGGGGATAAAATGGGGAGGGGGCAAACCACGCATGCTCCTTGGAGGAAAGGTGGGATATAAACACATGAAACAAAATGAAATGAAAGGCCACTTGTCAGGGCAAAGGGCTGGGCTGTGGGCAGATGTAGAACTTCCTGGAATTTGGTAACACCTTAGTCCTGGAACTGTGGATCAGGAGTCTGCTTTGGAATTTGGACCTGCCAAAATTCACGAAGCATCTCCAGTCTGACCCACACAGGTGTATCCCTAGATCGGGCTTCAGCCTTAGGCTGTGACATCACTGAGGTTCAAACCTCCAAGTCCCTGGGCACTCACAATGATGGTGGTGGTTGTAATAGCAACCCTTTGTAGGACTTACCTTCATGATCTTTATAAACTTCAGGAGCAACCTCTCTCGGTCCTGGGCTTTCTCCTGCTGCATAATTATTGAGCGGACCCTGTGAGTTTGCAGATTGGGAGAGATGCAACAACGCAGCCATCAGGATTAAACAGTTCAAGCAGGTTTCTGATCCAGGAATCCCTGCTGAGCTGCTAAGCGCTGGCTGAAGCACCAGTAATGTTGGCTTCCTGATTCATCTTGGCTGGTAGTCCTGGAAGACCTGCCCCCTGCCTTGCAGGCCTTTTTCCACCTGGCCTGGGAGGGCAGCATCCTGACTGTCTCCAGCTACAAAAGCTGAGGCTGTGGAACAGAATCTTGGGCTGGGGTGCCATTTAGGGGGTTTGTTGTGGATGGGATTGTTGCTGGCGTTGCTGTTAATTTTTTGGCTCTTATGATTCTATGTGGAAATTGTTAAATTTGGTTGTTTTGTTTACTGTTTGTTTTTGGTGTTTTGTTTATTGTTTAAAATAATTGCTCTCTTGCGCAAAAAGCTTTCCTCTCTCTTTCTCAATGACCAAGAAGCATGTGCACTTCCTACACACAGGAACTAATCTGCAGCACTCACTTTCAGAACAGCAGACAGTGGAACACATTTCTTGATCTTTGTGAGTCAGTGCGTTACATTTTTCCTAGCAGGGATCCCAATGTCAACCTTGTCCTATTTCCCACCACCGCCCCAAAACCTGGCAGGATGAGGAAGGCTATGTCGCCCCTAGCAACCTTTCCTGAGGACTAGTAGATTATGCTAACTCAAAAGGTGGGTTGGTTGGTGAGAGGGGAAAACGCAATTTCTAAGGGAAGGGCTCAATATTATATGAAGAATCAAATGAAGAATCAGAAATTCTTTTTCCTGTTCCCTTCTTTGTTTTTTCCTTTTTCCTGTAAGCTTTCTCTACCTTCCTGTCTCTTTCTTTTTCTTCTTTCATGGCCTGTGTTTTTATTTAGATTGGCTTTGATAAAAAGATATTTGATATTAATTTTTATTCAGCAGGGGCTGATGGGAGATGTAGTCCAAGGCATCTATAGAGAACCTAATTGGTGACGGCTAGTCTACACTAATTGGCAGTGACCCTCCAGGACAGGATTTCAGATAGAACTCTTTCCCTATCTGAAGATGCTGGGGATCAAACATAAGATCATCTATGTGCAAAGTGCAGGCTCCACCGCCAGAGCTATGTTCTTTCCCTCAAATTAATGCAGGTGTGGGAAGATGCAAAGTGCTATGGTGGGAGGGCATGAACAAGCCAGATTTGATTTCATGGGGAGGAGGATGTTTTGCCTGGAGATCACATCTAGCATGGCCTGGTGTAGTGGTTAGAATGTTGGCCAGTCACTAGCCTACCTCACAGGACTGTTGTGAAGATAAAATATAGGAAAGGAGAGGAAGAACTGTGTAGGCGACCTTGCATTCAGAAAGGTGAACTGTAGTAAATAGATAAACAACACTTCATGGTGCTACTCTGAATAAAAACGAACCTCTTAGACCTCCAAAGCCTGCCTCTTGTCAAAAAATGTGAGCCACAAACCAGGGACTTCCTTTGTGCATTGCTCAGAACCGCAGCCCTTCCTGTGATCCCTCAAAATACACACACCCTCTTGTCATCAATGCAGCTTCCCCTCCCAAGAAAATATGCAACTCCGAAACCAGACAGGAAGTGAGATTTGTTGCTCTTTTGTCTTTCTTACCAGTACGACATGTTATTAAAGTGCTCGGTGAATTGTGTCAAGTTGGGGCTTTTCTCTTCATTCTGCTCTTTTGCCCAAAGCAGAACTTCAGGGATCTGCAAAGGAAAAAAAAAAGGTGGCAAAAGGGACAACTGAAAACACAGATACGTCCAGGGAAGGGAGGGCTTCCCCTTGACAGCGAGAGCTGCCTAAGCTGCACTGTCAAAATGTCAAAGTGTGCAACTGCTTACTTCTCTTATAAATATTCAGGAATCTAGTAGGACAGTTCCAACTATACATAAAATGGTTTGGTCTTTTAAAGGTAAAAACAGGATCAGTTGAAGAATGGATAGATGAATGAAGAAAAATGAAATGCAAATCCAATTCATGGAGTCAATGGTTTTGATGATAGGTTATAGAAACAACAACAATGAATGCTGTAAAGGGAACATTAGTACTGTATTTTACAGTAGATTGCATGTTATGTTAAGTGGAAGATTCTTAATTCTATATGTAGAATAGGACGTGTGCTTTAAAGAAATGGAATCTGAATCTGAAATACAGCTCAAGGCAAGAGGAAGGCTAATTTATATTAATACTTTAATCAATATTACTTTTGCAATAGTTTGGTATGGGTAATAATAAGAAAATATATTTAAAAAAGAAAACTCTGTGTTTGTGTGTGTGTGTGTGTATTAAAAAGTTGCATCCCGCCCTGGAAAAGTTGTTTGGGAGGGAGGCCACCACACATCACATCCGCACCATATATTTAAAGCACATCTATCCCATGTTAACAGTCTTGTGATTCCCCAAAGCATTCTTAGAAACAGTAGCTTAGCCCTTTCAGAGCTATAATTCCCAGCACCCTTAACAAACAACAGTGCCCAGGATTCTTTGGGAGAAGCCATGTGTTTTAAATGTTTTAAGTGTGAATGTGACCCCAGGAACCAGAAAACCGTGGAGTTAGCAGGCAGCCACCTATGAGTGGTGCTTTGGGCTAACATGAGCCTTTCACCTTTTCACAAAATGTATTTCTTGTGGGACAGTGGCTGTTCTCCCTCTAAGTATGGTTTAGGTGCTTCTTCTACAAGAATACAGGCCAGCTCTGACATGTTGTTTGTAATACCTCAATTTTATAAAAGAGCTCTGCATCCAGGAGGGTCAGTTGTTCTGCTATCTCATGGCTGTGGAAATCGTGGAGGGTCCCTGGTCTGGACAAGGAAAGAATGAAAAAGGTGATGCACAAGCTCTGAAGTGTCTTAGTTTGCTCTTCCTTTTTAAGCCTCCCCAAGTTTCTAGTCATTTTAGTTCCAGAGGGATGTTTGCACACGTGTGGTGACATCTCAGAAACTAGTAAGGTAGGATAAATATATAGGTGCCGCCCCCAGCTTCCTGAACTTTTTTAGCAGGTTCCCACTCAATGGGACTGCTTTCCTGTTGACCTAAAAGTACTCCAGAGTAGTGAGGAAAAGAAATCACACACAATAATGTGGGCACTAAGAAGCACTTCAAGTGTGGTACAATTCACTCCAACGAACTGCAAGTATTGCATTCTACTCTGGCACTGAATACTTGCAAGGAATTATATATGATTAAAGCAATTTGAACCTTGCAAGTGCCAGACGTTTTGCAAAAGATATTTGAGCAAATATACTTCACAAAGACTTTGGGGTCCTTGGCTTGGGATTGGGTTTCCCCCTACTTTTGAGGGAAGACCAAAAACAGCACCATCTCACCTGGCTGCCACCCATCGAGCCGCAAGAGGTTTGATCGAGTTGGTGTATCGCAGCATTTTCTTCTGATCCACTTTGTCAAGGATGTTTTTGCGCAGGACTCTGGCAAGGCTGAGCTCCCCATTGCAGACCAAGCGGAACACAAGGTCCATGAGCAGCTTGAGGATCTCCTCCGTCAGCTCCACCAAACTGAGAAAGAAAATGTGTGAGAAACCTAGGGCAAGTCCCCTTCAGCCAGTATATATGTACATGTGCTGCACTCACCCACACCATTTATAACCAGTGCTTTTTACCCCCAAAAGCTGTCTAAAAAGACATGGCACGCAATGGAAAGAGAGGAGGAAAAATACAAGCACAGGGTCCTGAATTTACAGCCAATATCAGAGGCTGACTTTTGGAATGAATATATATATATATATATATATATATATATATATATATATATATATATATATATGTTTTGGTGTCCTCGGGTGTCTTCCCGTGTAAAAGTTGGGGTGTCTAGGCGACGTTTCGACGAGGTCTCACTCGTCATCTTCAGGCTGGTGCTTTCGGCTTCTTGTTACTGGAACAGAGCAGGATCTCAGTGTTTGAGTTCCTATAAGTACTGTTGAGGAGGTGTGGTGTATAGCCTCCAATGTTCTGGGCAGAGAGGAAGTTCCCAGGCTAGTGTGCCTTTTCTTCTTTTGTTCCTTAATTACTTGAGGGATATCTTGAGTGATTTCTTGAGTGATATCCTGAGTACCACTTAGGTGGGTCATTAGGTGTGGATTAGTTGCTAAAGCCTTCGTGTCTTGACCTCTTGAACTTTGTGAAGAGTTTTTCTGAGAAGATGGCTGTACTGCACTTAGTTGTGCTCTGGCTTGGCTTCGTGTATAGGGGCGAGCTGTGGTTTTGTGGCCTGTGCCAGCCAGATCTGTGTAGGGATTGCAGGGGGGTGCAGCATCCGGAGGTGCCACCATGGTTTGGCTACTGGATGGTGTCTGTAATTTATCTGTGGAGAGGGTCTGGGTTTGGGTCTGGTGTGGTTGATTGGTGATGGCGTTCTGTGTGCCTCTGGATCTGGTGTCGGTTTTTGTGGGGAGGGCTAATTTCCAGATGTCTGGCAGGCGGGATGTGTCGTCACGCTTGTTCATGTTGTGAGGGTGTTTCTCTATCTCGATGGCTTCCATGATTATTCTCTTGTGGTGATGTTCCATGTTAAAGAGCAATTTGGAATCTGCAAAATTAATTTCGTGTCCTGTTTCTTTCATGTGTTGGAAAAGAGAGGAAGTTTTTTCTTCTTTTTTGACGGCATTCTTGTGTTCTGCGATACGTGCATTTATTCGTCTGTTTGTTTGTCCAATGTACGTGGCTGGGCAGACTTTGCAGGGTATTTCATAGACCCCTTGGTTTTCCAACTGGATTTTATCCTTGGGGTTTCTGAGGATATTGGCTATTTTTTGGTTGGTGCAAAAGGCTGTTTTGATATTGTGTTTATGGAGGATTTTGCTAATTTTATCTGTAGTGCCCTTGATATAAGGAAAATCTACGAAAGCATATATATATATATATATATATATATATATATATATATATATATATATTTGCTTTCGTAGATTTTCACGGGTACAGGAATGCAGGTTTTGGTGTCCTCGGGTGTCTTCCCGTGTAAAAGTTGGGGTGTCTAGGCGACGTTTCGACGAGGTCTCACTCGTCATCTTCAGGCTGGTGCTTTCGGCTTCTTGTTACTGGAACAGAGCAGGATCTCAGTGTTTGAGTTCCTATAAATACTGTTGAGGAGGTGTGGTGTATAGCCTCCAAAAGGCACACTAGCCTGGGAACTTCCTCTCTGCCCAGAACATTGGAGGCTATACACCACACCTCCTCAACAGTATTTATAGGAACTCAAACACTGAGATCCTGCTCTGTTCCAGTAACAAGAAGCCGAAAGCACCAGCCTGAAGATGACGAGTGAGACCTCGTCGAAACGTCGCCTAGACACCCCAACTTTTACACGGGAAGACACCCGAGGACACCAAAACCTGCATATATATATATATATATATGAGGCTGACTTGCTTTCAATAAAGAGCAAAACTACTTCCCCTCACCCCCAACATCAGAGCCAGGAGCAGAGCTGGTGACAATCTCTAGGCTGGCTCCTGCTATGGTCATATTTAATGAAAACTCTTCATTCTGATGATGTGAGTTTTCGCTTATTTTTAAAAAGGCACGAAAACCAGCTGCTAGTCCTCATAATCGCAGCAGAAAAAGTTCTGTTTTCTGCATCTGTTAAGAAGCATGGTCTTATCATCTGCCCCAAAATCTGTGCTGTGAAGCAGCTAAATGGTGCAGGTCTAATAACTTCTCAATTGTCTTAATGCATGTTTAATGCTTTGAAAAATACATAAAGACCAGCAGTAGTGGTGATTGGGTTGTAGTAGTTTCTCATCAGCATGAACTGTAGGGACTTCTGTCCATTGCCCTGGGTAACCTTGCAAAGGGAGTAAGGATAAGTCTCCTCCATGTGGTGCAATGATTGGCATTTCAGATCCATGCAACTGTGATTAGAAAGTGAGAAAAAACTCGCTCACCACAGCTCATCCACAACTCGGACCAGGACGAAGAAGGTGTTCTTGCTTACTCGCTTCTTGAAGGTGTCTGGACAGTGGCAGAATTTCTCATATGTTGAGGGGCAAGTTAAAGGACTAACATGACATAGCTGAGTTGCAAGGACCAAACCAATGCAGAAGACCTTAAGGTACCTCTCATTTACAGTGAACCCTCCAGTTCTGAACCTGGGTGGGCAGCCTCAGGGAGAAGTATTAAACTCAAGTATCACCAACCTGTTGCCAGTCCAGATGACACAAGACTACAACTCCCATCACCCCTGGACATGCTGGCAGGGGATAATGGGAGCTGGAGTCTAGCAACATCTGGAGGGCCAAGGGATCCCAATTCCTGGGCTGCAGCAGGCTAAGAAGAAACAGTTGCATGTTATCTTCCTGGTTCCAGGATAATTCTGCCCACCTAGGAAGCCTGTTTGGTTCTCCCTGGCCCGGCTTGGCTGTAAATGCTCCCAGGTAAGGTCAGATCCAGTTTCTCCCAAAGAGCTCAAAGACCCCATTCTACTAAGACTCGTACCCAGAGCTCCTGGCTGACATGCCGGGATTCACGTGCACCCAAGCACACTGCAAAAATAATAGCCAGTTGCTAGTCGTCATAATTACAAAGGAAAAGCTCAGCAGTCTGTTGGCCATCCCTATTCCCAAAGCACAGTGCCGCTTCCTGCTGCCCAGAGTGGCTGGGGAAACTCAGTTAAATGGATGGGGTATAAATATTATTGTTATTATTATTACTATTCCAAAGATTCTGCTTCTCATCCAGCTTGAAACCTATAAGGCATATAACAGTACAGATCTAATAACCCACATCCCTGAGAGGTGTCACAGAAAGAAAGGAGATGCAGAAATAAAAGCGAACAGGGGCTTTACACACACACACACACACACACACACACACACACACAGAGAGAGAGAGAGAGAGAGAGAGAGAGCGCTTCATTCCTGCCTTCTGCCTGAGAGGAGAATAATGCTGCTCTCATTCCTGCCTGTGCAGATGGGAGCATAGATTTATAGCTTCTGGCCACGAGCAAAGGATTTCCACCGACAGCTGGGAGGAGGGCAGTGCAGAGGCTGCTGCGTCACATTAATCAGCAGCACCAGCAGGGGCCATTTCTTGGCAGCAGGTGGCAGTGATGAGCCAGGTGTGGCACCATGCCTCTGGAACACGCTGGCACACGACCGGCAAAGCCACAAGGCCTGTGCGCTCAAGTGGAGAACGTGGGTGGTTTAGAAAAATATATCGCCCTAGGACAAAGGCAGAAAGGATGGCATTCTGCAACACTAAGGGAAGGCATCACTCCTTTTGTGTGCAGGAGTGGAAGGGAAGGTGGGGAGAGGCGAATGAGAGCCACAAACACCCCTCCCGTTGCAGAAAGATTGGGGGCAGGGAGCCATTTGCAGCCCAAGGGCCATATTCCCTAATGGGATACCTTGTGGGGGCCACACAGGAGGGCCAGTGGCAAGAATGGGCAGAGGAATGGATGTAAAATTTATCTTTGTACATTAGGCAAGTTCCTACACACACACACACACACACACACATACCACTCTACCCTCCAACCAGGCAAGCAAGAGGCACTATCAGAGTTCAAGGATGCATTCCAGCTTGACAAAAGAACTCAGATTTTGTTGCAAGGCCAGTGAGAGGTGTGTGGTGTATGTGTCCTGAAGAGAAGAGTTGTGACCTGGAGATAGTTCCAAAGGTCAGACAAGAGAGGCCTGAAGGGCTTCATTTGGCCTCCAGAACTGAAGAAGATGGTTGTGGGAAGGAGACGGATTGGCAAGAACTGCCATCTACCCTGAAACCTTAAAGAGAAACGGTAGCCCTTATGAAAGATGCTGATGGATAAATCTGTCAATTCTGGTTACTCTCTGATTTTCGTTTTTAAGGTTCAGATCAACCCATTCCTGCATCTATTTACACATGTCTCCCCACCCCCCAAAAAAAAGTCTGTGTGAAAACAGCAAGCGACTTTCATGAACATTTCTCCTGATATATATGTAGCTCTGTATGCAGGTTTCCTGCTATGGTCCCACTAAGCACATCTCCTTGAAGCAGGTGGTGGGGAGAGAATGGGTAAGAAGCCTGCACTTCACAGGCTTCTTTAGCCTTTTCTCTGCTTGCTCTCCTGCAGCTCACTTAAAGGAGAAGTTCCTGCCCATCAGCTGACATCACCAGTGAAGACAGTAGGTGGGCTTTATTTGTGGGGAAATGGCACTGCAGGCAAAACTGGGCCCCCTTGGTGCGCCAAGATTGGCCCAAAGGGTGGAGGTTTCCCACCCCCAATCCACCCTCCCATTTTCTGTGCCCGCTTTTGGGTTGGGGAACTGCATCACAAAATTCAGAAAAGTGCAAATTTCAAAATATAGCTGTGTCTGAGCTTGCGAATGTGATGGATGCCTAAGGAGAGAAAACACGACAGCATCCAGGGAGTGGCCACAGTGCAATGGTCCCCCCTTCCAGCTCAAATGGAAATCTAAATATTCCCTTCTTTTTGTCCAAAGACTCCAGTCTTCACAAATTCCTCTTCTTACAACCTGGTTCCTGGGGGGTGGAAGAAGAGAGAGAAACCTCAAGCTTCTTCACACCACCTTGTTTTGAATCTTTGGGTACAACTGACAACCCAAAGGAATATAAAAAGCTGCCTTCTACCTAGCTTAGTACTGCCCAGACTGACTGGCAGTGGCTCTCCAGGGTTTCAGGCAAAAGGACACTCTCAGCCCTACCTGGAGAGGATGGAGAGTGGACTTGGGACCTTCGGCATGCAAAGCGGGTGCCCTGAGCTATGGCCTTTCCTGATTTCATAGCAAAATGAAAGCAGGGATCTGGTCCTCATGTTCCTGAAAAAAGTTGATTTTAAATAGGAACCTAAGGAACTGCCTTATGCTGAGTTGGACCAATGGTCCATCTAACTAGACCAGGGGTCTGCAACCTTTAAGACAAAAAGAGCCACTTGGACCCGTTTCCGAAGAAAAAAAAACTGGGAGCCGCAAAACCATTGCGACATTTAAAACAAATATAACACTGCATATATTGTTTCTTACCTTAATGTCCGATCTGACAGTGGGCGGGAAGGTGACGTCGGGACGGTGCGTGACAAACGCACGCACCGCCCCCATGCAACGTCACAGCCAGTACAGCGCCCGCCACAGTGGGGAGTGTCGGGGCGCACAATGCGCCTCCTCCCCTCGCTGGTATCCGCCCCGGAGCTGCGGCAAAGGTGTAAAAGAGCCACATGCGGCTCCGGGGCCGCGGGTTGCAGACCCCTGAACTAGACAATAGAGTGTCCGGCATCAGTTCTTTAGGATTTCAAGCAGGAGTCTTTTACCTGGAGATGTTGGTGATTGAGACCTTCTGCACGTAAAGCAGATACTCTGCCAATGCGCTACGGAAGGGCCACACTGACACTGTTCTAAACTGACTAGGGGTTCTGCCTCTTGGAAGGTAGACACACTGCACAATTTGGGCAGGGGAGAGAGGGGTGGGGAGATTTGCTGAGTGTTTGAAAGGATATCTGTATTGCAGTTTTTTGATGAGGTCTTCAGGTGTGATGAACGTGCGGTAAGTGGTCAAAAAGGCCTCACAGTACAGCACCAAATCTGTTGAGGACAAAAGAAGAAAGAGAAGAAAAGATAAGACACCTGTCAATCAACAGAACAGCTTTTACCCAATATGGTGCCCTCTCAATGTTTTGGACTACAACGCTCATCCGTCCTAGCAAGCATGCCTAAGAGGAAGAATCAAATAGAAACACACGGTCTCAGTTTACCCAGATCATGTTTAGGGGGTCAGGAAGCCAGAGAGAGAATTGGAACACATGACTCTAAGGCACAACCCTAACACCCAAACCACAGTGTGTTGGTGTTGTTGCTGCTGCTAATAACTGTATCTATTAAATTTCTTACCCACTCTTCATTCATCATGATGCTCCAATACAACTCTCAAAATCAATCAAGACAAGAGATGTTGTAGCAAACAATATCACAGTAAAGAAGGGCAACTTCAGCGTGTTCAGTTGCATGGGAATCTAGTTACCATTCAGTTTGTTGTGTCTTACTCAGAGTAGACCCACAGAAATTGATAAGATGCTTAGGTACATTAACTTCAATGAGCCAATTCTTGAGTGGAACCTAGCTGGGTAGAATGCAGTCAAATTTAATACGTGAGCAGTGCAGAGTCAACTTCGAAGCTCTTACTAGGCAAAAACAACAATCAGAACTGTACTGTAAATGGAAATGACTGACAATAGGCAAACAACAAGCCCGCATACCCCAATGAAATTTACAGTGGCCCCACTTGCAGACAGGGAGCTAACACGCTCCCTTCCGCAGATGTACACAACTATAACTGTTGCAGCGAATGTTATCTCTTGTCTGATTGCAGCTAAGCAGAATCCTCCTTTGCGTGTTGCCCCTGATTCAAAGCTCCTGCCTGCTCTGATCTGCAAAACGTGACAAGTTATGTGGGGAGTTTTCAGCAAGCCACTCTCACTTCTGTGATACCTTTCCTGTCGGTCTCTGTGGCGTGGACCAAGAGGATGTCGCCCGAACCACCACGAACATCTGGTCCGTCGTCGCCCTGTATGAGAAGCAAAACAAATGGAGATTGTGCTTCAGGTGGCTCCCCAGGAACTAAGGAAACCTGCTTCACACCAGGTTAGACCATTGGTCCATTTTCAACATTGTCATCTGTGACAAGAAGCTGCCTTATACTGACTCAGTCCATCACCCAAGAGCTCAGGACCAACTTCAATCAGATCTCTGTGGTTCAGGTAGGGGGTTTCTCTCAGCTAGGGTTGCCATACTTGGAAGAGCAATGACACTATGACGGCCATTCAACGCAAATAAATGCAATTTGTCTCAAATTTCACCCCTGAAAAAGAGGACATGTCCTGGAAAAAGAGGACACATGGCAACCCTAGCCCTGCCTGAAAACACCAGGAATTGAACCTGGGGCCTTCTGCTTACGAAGTGAGTTGAGCCCCTGCCTTTGCCTTCTGGGAGACCCTGGTGCCTGAACAGACTAGTAAGCCACACAGAAATTCCTCACGCTGCATGCTGAGTCTTGAGCTGGGGGGTGGGGAGATATCTGGGCTTGCTATCGCCCTGGAGGTGACCTCCAGCCCAAACTTGACTTTGTTTTGTCAGACTAAAGGGAGTGGGCAGACACCTGTGAACTCTTGAGGCTTGCGAGGAGAAGGAAAATCTGTGTGTGTGTCACTGGAGGTTACGTGGGGGCCAGTGTGAGTGGGCTTTGGTGTATCGTGAGCCAGATCCCACCACCACGAGGAACCATTGGATCAGATCTTCAAGGTGCACATCAAAAGGCTGAGTGAAACGGATTAACTCTAAAGGTGTTACTTGGAAAGCCCATGCAGACACCACAGGGATGGAGCGATTACATTCCGACATTCTGAAGTTACTCATAGGTTGCCCATCCTTGCATTAGAGCAGGTGTAGGGAGGACCTGTGACCCTACAGATGCCCCCAAACTACAATCTGCATCATCCCTGGCCATTGGTCACGCTTGCTAGGGCTGTTGGGAACTGTAGTTCAGCAACAGCTGGAGGATCATAGCTTCCCCACACTGCATTAGAGGAATGATTTTTTGAGCGGCGGGGGAAGATACCACACAGACCTGATTTTAAAGCGTTACATGTGCAAAAGACGTCAAAATGGCGCCTGGCTCTTCATAGAAAAGAACACCAGGAGGGCTGGCGGATGGCTACCAGCATCTATCAGAGAAATTATGTTCATGACACAATCCTTGAGCTATTTCTTTGGCAAGGCTCCTGGAATTCCACTTAAGATATGAGTAATGGCTTCTCCCTGCCTGCTGGCGGATCGTGGCTGGCCAGAGCACTTCTCCTGCCTCCTGCTCAAAAAACACATGCAGCATGTGCCCACGAATGATCAATCGCTGCTCTCTTCCAGACAGGACCTCTTGACAGTCTGAGAGCTTCAAAGGCCCAGCCTCATTCCCTGGAGCCCCAGGAAAGCAAGTGAGCCAGGCTGCTTGGCAGAGGACCCACTGGGGCTTGCTTTCTCTCTCTCTCTCTCTCTCTCTCTCTTTCTTTCTTTCTTGGAATAACTGGGAATCAAGGCTGCTTGTCAAGCATTGCTTGTGTGCTGGCATGCAGTTTGTGGCAACCCAAGAACTCCAGCTTTCATTTTAAAAGAAAGCAAAGTTTCTAGTTCAATGGCGGGGGTGGAGATAAGTTTCAAAGTGTGTGTTCATAGCACCCAATGCAGAACACTTTTCTGCTTGACAATTGGCTGCCAAGGACCAATAAAATAAAAGAAAGTTTACACCAGTAGTGATGGCAGAAGCATGTTTTTGGGGGTTGGGCCTATGATGATGTTAACACTGCACTACCCAGGCCATGAATAAAATTTTTCCAGGTCAATACAAGTTTCTTCAAAGTTTCAAAACTTGCAGCAGCCCTAAGGTCTGGTAACTTGTTTTACTGTTTTACAAGTCCCATCCAGCAGTAAGGTTCTATGTGAAACGAAAGGACACTCAGCTGTGCTGCTTGCTAACACGAAAATATTAGATCAAGGGTTCAGCTCTGACATTTGGTTTAGCATTCAATCCAATTTGATTCGGGCCTGAATATGATAGCATAAAAGCCATGCTGCTGCTGTACTAACCTCTTGCTTCAATGTCAACCTGGCCATGATTTCATTGTGGTCAGTCAAGGACAGTTCATCTACTTCCTCCTCCGGTTGGGAAGACTCTGAAGATTCTGCTGACTTCTGTTGCCTGGGTGCGGAACAAGAGATGGTTATTGCCAAGTTCCTAGCCCACAGTGTAGCTGGTGTTTCAAAGAAATGTTAACATAAGCAAGAGGTAGGTCTCTGACCAAAGGAGGTCACAATCAACATATTGATTATGGGTGGAGATAAGGCAAAGCTAACAAGTGATGGAGATGAACACACACGAGAAAAGTGTGTGGGGGGGAGAAGGTTCTAGTCTTCATGGTGTTATGAGGGGGAAGCCTGCCTTATGATGACAAGCTGACTGATACAGACTCAAAGGAGCCATGGTGGAAATGTCAAGCTTCTATACTCAAGAATATGGGACTTAAATCCAGCCCCCCGCCCCCACCTTCCATTTCCCAGCCCTTGGTTTTGAAGTTTGGCCAAGCTGCTCCGCTGAGCCTGCCAGCCCCAGGATAAAAGTTTTTTGACACCCCTACATCCCTTCCAGCAAATCTTCTGGCAGTTCCCTCTTTGTGAGAAGTGAGGTTACAGGGGACCAGGCAGAGGGCCTTCTCGGTAGTGGCACCCACCTTGTGCAATGCCCTCCTGTCAGATGTCAAGGAAATAAACAACTATCTGACTTTTAGAAGACACCTGAAGGCAGCCCTGTCAGGTGTGCAACCCAGTCAAATGAAAATAATAATAATAATAATAATAATAATAATAATAATAATAATAATAATAATTCCAACCAAGATTCCATCTCCAGTTGTGGATGGCAGATTTCAAATATATGAAGGCATGAGTTGCATCTTGAGAAAACATAGCCAGCTGGTAATAATACTTATTCTTTTGCAAAACTGCATTGTAAATTTCTTGTGGACTTTTTCCTGAGGGAGAAGATGCATAAATCCAGCAAACTGATTACCCTAAACATATAAACAGAGGCAACAGGAGCCCCACCTTTCACTCTCATCTTGGTTCTCCTTCCCTTGGGTGCTGCTCAGAGAAGCAGAGTCCTTGGCATGACAGTCTTTTATTGCTGGGGATTCCTGCCAAAGAAACAAGCTTTGCGTTATTAACACAGGACCTCTCACCAGGGGTGCCAACTCAATGTGCAGTGACTAATTAACCCACCTGTACAAATTAAACACACCAACAGAATACGCACAACTCAGTTAGAACGGGCGTTGTATCCAACGAAGGCCCCATCTGCACTATACATTTAAAGTATTACCAAATCACTTTAAACAGTCACAGCATCCCGCAAAGAATCCTGGGAAGTGTAGTTTGTAAAGTGTGTTGAGAGTTGCTAGGCAACCATATTGCCCTTACAGAGTTACCAATCCCAGAGTGGTTTATCTGTCAATGCCTCTTTCCAGGGAACTCTGAGAATTGAAGCTGTGTTAGGGAAATAGTGGTCTCCTAACAACTAAATAAATGACACTTTATCCTAAGCAAATGACTCTTTCCACGATTTTTGGGCTGGGGAGGAGCCATGACTGGTTAAGTGGTGTGATACTGCTTTAAATGTATGAGGTGAATGTAGCTTGAGAGGGCCCACTAAAATCATTAGCTAGGATGAAGTATTTAGCCCATTGATGTCAATGGGTCTACCCTCAAGTATAACATAACTGGATCCAACCTGGGGAAATCAGTATGCTCCCCGGTCACCTAACAGGGGTTGGGAGTCTGTATCCCTGCAGAGATTCTCATGACCCTCCATCAGCATTGCCCATGTTCAGGGATGATGGGAACTGCCATTCATATTTCAGCAAGATTTGGATGGCTAGAGGTTCTCTATTCTTGACTCACATGCTGTTATTGTTTCCTTTGAGTTATTGTGACATGAAATCGAATGCCAATCACCATTGGCAAGTTTTAAAATCATTGCCGACTGGGTGCCAACCCATTGGCTTTGGGCAAATATTCAACAAAGTCTGTAACATCAATGTACCTTTTAAAATTGCATCATGGAGTGGGTGGGTGGGTGTTATCTGACAGCAATGAGCGGAGTGAAGAGCTGTTGTTTCCCAGCCCAGCAGAAATCAGGGTCATGCATAAACAAATCCCTCATTTGGAGGAAGTTGAAAAAGCCTCATCACTCCCGCCCTCCCCCCGCCACTTGGGAGTGCCAAGTTCCAGGCTTAATAAGCTTCCATCTCAGGGCGATGGGCCAGAACTAAGTAGTAGGAATGGGAAGATTACTTCCTACTTGGCTTGATGAGATCCTTGGCTATTATCTCGGTACTGAAAAGTCCATTAGGACAAGGCTGAGCCACCAGGCACAGCCTCATCCTCTCTCCTCACTTGCACCTATGACGCTCTGCCACTGACCAGAGGTCCCCTCTCAGTTAGTGGACCTGGACTACAGCTGCAGGCCACCTCTAAGCAGGAAAGCACAGGAGGAAGTAGAAAGTACAAGTCTCTGCTGCCATCAAAGGGTTACACTTTATTTCAAGTGCTGGATTAGACCCCCCACAACTAGAAACACAGAGATGAGCAGTGGGGAAAGTGCAGCTCCTGATATCTCCTCTTCCATGCTTTCTGTCTAAAAGAATAGCCCTCCCTGCAGTTCCTCCTTTGCAACTGGTTGCCCAAACATGGCAAGGAGTGGTCCTTAGGGTGACTGAGGCTCTGCCCTCCCCCCCCCAACCTCAGCCAGGCCACACCTGCCTTCCTTAGTGTCCGCCATCTTCTATGACCGTATCACGAACCACAAGTGTGAATCACTTTAGTGCACGGTAAGGAAGAGGAAGTTCGGACACAAAATGGAGAAGGGCATTGGCCAATCGCAGTGGGAAGGGGGTGGAGGAAGAGCTCCAAACAGCCAACCATGCCCTTGCTGTAGTACTCCATTCCGCCCCCCTATTATTATTTAATAATATTTGCCTGCTAAGAATGCGTAGGTCTTCTCTCTTTCTGCACTCCTGAACAGAGTCCCCCCAACACCCGCCACCAAATTTTTCTATACTACTGTAAAGCTTCAAAGTCCCCCTCCCCACCCTGCCTTCCATTTGGGCATGGATAGTGACACCTTGTTTAAGCAGACGCATGCGAGCACACCCACCCCCCACTGAGAGTTCACTTTTAGTATCCAGGCAACGATGTAACAACTAAGCAACTGGACTCTTTTCTGATCAAATTATTTCACGGCCCCAGAATGTCATCACAATGCTTAAACCAGGATGGGGGTGGAAGGGTAGTTTGGGATCTACTGGTATATCTCTGGTTGATTTCAAGCAGATCAGAAAGGATTGTTTAGCAAAGGCAACGACAAAATGCCTATATATATCCATCTTTATATTATATTGCTGAAATGTAGAAAGCTTACAGGTGGAACAGGGGAAGATAACCATAAGCTAGTTTGGGTGTGTGGGTGTGTGCAGAAGGGACTGTGGCCTCAGTTCAGTTCAGTAAGGTAAAGGTAAAGGTACCCCTGCCCGTACGGGCCAGTCTTGACAGACTCTAGGGTTGTGCGCCCATCTCACTCAAGAGGCCGGGGGCCAGCGCTGTCCGGAGACACTTCCGGGTCACGTGGCCAGCGTGACATCGCTGCTCTGGCGAGCCAGAGCCGCACACGGAAACGCCGCTTACCTTCCCGCTAGTAAGCGGTCCCTATTTATCTACTTGCACCCAGGAGTGCTTTCGAACTGCTAGGTTGGCAGGCGCTGGGACCGAACAACGGGAGCGCACCCCGCCACGGGGATTCGAACCGCCGACCTTTCGATCGGCAAGCCCTAGGCGCTGAGGCTTTTACCCACAGCGCCACCCGCGTCCCCACTCAGTTCAGTACTGGTATTCAAAACCAATTCCTAGACTCAGGATCTTTCAACTGTAAATGTCTGTTGCCTATGTTTGGATCTTGGGAGTTCCTAGTAAAACAGAAAAAACACCTGGGTTTAAAATGAGTGAGCTGTCCCTCCTCTATGGCTCTGAAGGCTTGAGACCTTTTTCATTTGCCTCCATTGCAGAGGATGTCACTTAGTTAAACTGTGTTAAAATACAGTTTTGGATTGATTATTTGGTTTTCCAAAGAGGTGGCCCCATTTAGCTGATTCATTCAACACCCAACTTGGGCATATCTCTGTTGAGCACAGAACAGCAGGTACAAAGCATCTTCCTTTCATATCCATGTATGAATGCAATGTTTCATCAAATATAAATAGAAGCCAATTATCATAGTGTTTTACAGCGGGGGGGGGGGGAGGGAAGGCACCGCAAAAGCACATGGTAAGTGGCATTGGGGGGGGGGGAGAGAGAACACAAAGCCTGTTTGAAAAAACGCTTCCCAAATCCCTAAGAGCCATGCGCAACACCAGCAAATAGCACTGAGCAGCCCACACACCGACAGACAGGCCTACTTGGGAGTAACCCAGGGCACCGCATGGCTGGAGAAAGGCTTTGCGAGAAGCGCCACTCCCCTCTCCGACAGCAGCCCAGCCAGCATGCAGGCCCCACCAGACATATTGGCAAAAAGGTCTCCCCCAACCGCAGTTTTACTTACTCCTTCAGAGTGAGGGAGTTCCCCGTTGCTCTGACTGGAGGAATACAGATTGACGTATTCACCCTCCCCTGCCTCCTCACTGGCGTTTTCACTCTACAGGAGACAGGATGGAAGAAAGTGGGTGACTGGCTTGGTGGGCGGGTGAGCTTTGTGGGCTGAGCACAGTCCATTCAGCAAAGCGAGCAGTCTGGGCTCACAGGGCTGAGACCCTCCCCCCAAAAAAACTTAAAGGTGGCAGGGGGAGAGAAGTTATGGCATTCATTCAGTTTCAGGGTCTTTCCAACGGAGCAATTTCCCACCTCTTAAAAGCTGCCCCCCCCAATATATATATATATATTTCAGGATGCATTAATGAGTGTGCAATCAAGGCGTGAGGAGCATCGCAGCTGGAAAATGGGTCTCTTGAAAACCAAGTGACTAATCTGTGCGGAGGGCTGACACAAGCAGATGCCAGCTTTAGATGGCAGAGATGAATGTTCCTTCTGAATTATATTTGGAGGGAGACTTCACACTGTCACCTGGAAAGGTTCACTTTTAGAATGTGTAAGGGCAAGACTCTCACCGCATTCAGGGAAGTGTCCCCCCCATTGCCATCACAGTGTTCCTACATGCATTACTGGTCTTGGTCCTTATGACTTTGGGGAAGATGCCCAGGGTTCCAATCAGCAGACTGAGCAGGACGTCCCCCCTCAAAAAAAGCACGTGTTAGATTACTCTAGCCTGCAGCAAGTGACCTAATGCGCAATACTGCCATCTAAAGAGGTGAGCTTCCCTAAGACCATTCTAAAATTACCTAACTGCGGCACTGATTGGGATGTACTGCTTCACTGGAAGGAGGCAAACAGAAGAACAACTCATACAGAAGTGGGTCTTTTATGGGTAGGTGCTCTGGACCCACAGAGCCTCTCATGACATGCAGATTGGGAATGACTCCTTTCATGCCTTAGAACATTCTATGCATCCTACCCCCTACATCAAGGTAAACGGTTTTAGCGATTAGTCTCTTGGTTTACAAATTTGGAATGCAGCTGAATATTCATAGAGAGGGGAGCAGGGAAGACAACCTGTATGAGAAACAAAAGCCACCAGACTCTCAAAATTAAAATAATCAGGATCACTTTGGGTGGTGGCCTCTCCTGTAGGTTGTGCTCCCTGCCTTCCACCCCACCAGTCTCAATGGGCACCAACCATTGCTGCTACTAGAAGGGTGTGGCCAAAGTGCTGGTGAGCTGGCTGGCAGCTTTTGAAGATTAAGCTTGCAAGGCTGATTTCAGGCATGCCCACCTTGTTCTCTTTCCAGCCATCCAACACGCAACCCCCCCCCCCATCATGATCAACACAGTGCACAAGGCAACCTAAGTAGCCTACAACAGAGAGGGTGCCTCAAACGGCCAAGGAGTTCTCACCGAAGATGTCTGGATAGAATCAGTGAAAGAGGTTTCAGAAGGAAGGCAGACAGAAGCAGTCCCACTAAAGCTGCTCTCCTGAGAGGAAGAGGTAACCCCGCCATCTGCAAGGCCGAGAGGCTGGCCGGCTGCGGCAGACCCTGCCGCCAGGTCAGAGTTCGGAGACTGGTGTGCAGGTGGGAAGCACAGAGGCAGGGAGGAGGCGGCGGAGGCAGATGAGAGAAAAGGAGGGATGGAAACTTGGCTGCGAGGCACAAAGTCTTGGGAGAAAGACCTGAACACCGATTTGTACTGCAGTGGGTGGGGAGAAGACAGCAACAGTGGTGGAGAAGTAAAAGGGCCAAGCCAATGGGGAGGGATTTGGGGAGCAGGGGGAAAGGAGAGGAAGAGAGACAGAGAAAAGAGAAAAGAAATTAGATCAACAGCAGCTCTAGGCAAAGTCACAACGTCAGCTCTAGGCAAAGCGGTCCACAGCCAAGGCGACACCATCGCATCAGCCTCCTTCCTCCCTTCTCTATTCTTTTAATGTTCCTGCCATGCCAAAAAAAAAATGAACTGGAGGGCATAGCTGGGACTATGTGCACTAACAAATAAACGAAACATTCCATACCACAGGAAGTGGCATTCTGCAGTCCACATACCATGATGCAAATCGAGAATATCTACATATTCCTCTCCTATTCTGCACAATCTATTCTGCTTTTTAAAAACAAAACAAAACAAAACAAAACAAAACAAAAGCACTCTAGATTTCACAAGTCAATGAGCCAGACTTGTAAAAAACTCAAAAAAGTAACTAGTTTGCTCACTCCTTCTTGTTCTTTTTTACTAGGTTGTGTTCTCATGATGGCTGCAGAAGAGGGGGAAGTCCTCTTCTTTTGCAGCCAGCATGAAAATTTATGATATCAACCTCTTAGCAGACTACTAATTGCTTCTTTAAATGCCTTCTATCTAGCAGACTGGTGGAGGAGAGACAGAGGTGAGAGGAAAATTCCCTTCATCTGTAGCCAGCACAAAACCAAGTGGACTAGTTGATGAGGAATGGAAAGATCTGTCATTCTTCCACCAGCCTGCTCTCTTGCCTGCATAAAATTCCCAGTCATCTACGATGAACAAGAGGAGTTGTTACTGAACAGTACTTAACTACAGAGGAAGCATTTACTCTTGACCATTGATACTGTTGTCCAGTAAACCACCTGGATTCTGATGTGTCAACAGGCACTGCCCATACACTTACAAGCTTGCCATTAATTTTGCAACCACACAGGTTAGTAACTTTCAGTATAAGAATTTTTAAAAGAGATTTTCATGAAGCTGAACTCCCTGTATCTAAGACCACTTTGTCTGCTTTTTCTGGACTGCCGTGGAATCACAGAATGCACAGATCTCTGGTAGTGTGCAGTATGTTTTCTTTTTTTAAAGATGCTAGTCCATATGGCTTCAAAAATAAGCTGGAACATACGAGAACAATGCCCAGAGGAAATTCAGCATCTGCAGCTAGGGTTTGCAGTTGTTAGGCAGCAGGGCTCCAGAGTCCCGCCAAGTAAATTTAGCCCTAAATAGCAGAGTCAGTATTTGGAAAATTGCTTTGCATGAGTTACAGAATTCATAGAAACCTGCTTTCCTTGGTACAGAAGTAACTATTTCCTTTGCACATGGCACACACAACACTTGACTGCACCCACACAAAATCCCGGGCATCGTCTTCTTTTCGACATGTGTCCATAGTGGGTGCTAAGATCTGCTTCTGGATAAGAGCCTGATGCTGGCTGGGGACTATTCCCATATTACATAAAAACAGGATAAGCTTGGAACGGCATCTATGAAAATGTATTGATAGGCTTGCCTAAACAACATTTTTAGCAGGCATCAAAAAGAGTACAGCAATTCATGCCTCTGCTGTTGCCCTAAGAGGACAAACTCCCACCAGAATGGTACATTCAAAATTTTAAGGATTTGTTAAAAACAAAAGAAGGCTCTAATCCTTATTGATGCAAAGATACCAGAAGGGGGACTGCTGGGTAAGATCTAGGGGGGCTTCAGTGCCAAGCTTAGCCTCTAGCCTCTCTGGCTGAATTGTCAAACAAGCAGAAATTATGCAAACTTACTAAAAACAATGGAGAGCAGATGATATGGCATTTGCTCTATTTGTATAATTTATGAAGGTTGTGGAATTAAAAGAGCTGAGACATGTCTCTGTCAACCAGGCACTCTCCAGATGTTTTGAACTAAAACTCCCACCAGCCTCAGTCAGCCCACAGGATCATCCCTCTATCTCCCTCCCTCCACAGCTCTAAAGATCAGTGCGCGCGCGTGCGCGCACACACACACACACACACACACACACACACACAGTGAGAGAGAGAGTGTGTGTTAATCTTTCTTGGGTTAAGGAGTAATTGGTTTTACAATGCACACCTCAGAACAAGACCTCAAGAAAGTGTCAGGGTTTTGAAAGAAGCAAATGAGCCATGCCAGATCAGTCCCAGAGACCACTGGGCCTTCCCAACTGTGCTTCCCATTGGCAAAAAAAGGAGAGAGGTGCTGACAGTGTTGTATGGTGGCTAGAGTGCCATGCTATGGCCTGAAAGGCCACTGTTCAGAAGTCTGCTTGGCCATGAAGCTCATTGGGTGACCTTGGGCCCTGTCACTACCCCTCTCAGCCTAACCTACCTCATTGAGTTATTATGGGGATTCAGTGAGTGGGTGGGAGAACCACACATGCCACTTTGATCTCCTTGGAGAAAGGAAGGTGACATATGAATGCAATAAATGAATTGCTGTTGGGCTGGGCTCTTAGCACACTTGGCACAGGAGTTTCTTGAGCTGTGAAATGTCAGGTCAAAATAAAACAATATTTGCACAAAGAGCTAATCTGCATTTTGGTGGACACACAAACAGTGATCCAATTTCACACTTTAAAAAAAGTATTCAAACAAGTTGCCCCAGGTGTAAAATCAGCATTTGCAAGACTTCATGGGGCTACGAGTTAAAGCAGGTTGCTAATAGACAACCTGTCCATTGAGCACTCATCCTGATTTGCTAAGGAAATTAGGCTTCATTGGCTATTTAGTGAGTGTTCATTCTAATTCGTTTACAGGGAGGAAAGATGACACTGGGTTGCCCCACATTTTTCGGAGCGTTTCCCCTTCACTTTCCTTATCACTGTCTGATCTTTTGTGGAAGGGGGTCAGCTTCCGCAAATAAAAGTACAAATCTAAGTACAACCAAAACCTGCCGGCACATGACTCACACCCCAAATCAGGAACAGTTGTAATTTATTACCCTCTGCCATTGCCCCTTATGCCTGCAACTCTACCCCAAAACTTCCTACATGATGTTATTTTGCTCTCTCCACTTCAAATCTCTTCCTCAAAACCCAACTTTTCTTTCTTTCATTCATTCATTCATTTAGCTAGCAAAATGTATGTACCACATAATGATAATGACGACAACAACAACAACAACAACAATAATAATGTAAAAATCTCTAAAAAGCTTTACATAACTATGGTATAATATATTCATTAAAAACTAGCAATAAAAAGTGACTATTTAAAAACCAGTAGATATAAAAGGATTACCAGAAAATAGTTAAAACCAACAGTTACACACAGACACACACACGTACATAATAAAATTATGTGCCTAAATAGGTTGGCCTAAGCAAAAGAAGTTTTTAGCAGGAACAGGAAACAGGGAAGGCTCCTGTCTGACACCAACAGGTAGGGAGTTCCATAGAGTAGTTGCTGCAGCATGCACGAGACTGATTACTTGCAAAGGAAAAAAAAACACTGTACAGGTCTTGTAAAATAGCTAGTTCTAGCTTTATCCCCAAGTCCTCACTCCCAAATGTCTAAGTACATCTAATTGCAACTGGGCAGCCAGTGCAGTATAATGGTTGGAGTGTTGAACCAGGACCCGGGAGCCTAGAGTTCAAATCCTCACTCGGCCATGAAACTCCCTGGGCTAGTCACTGTCGCTCAGCCTAATTTACCTCACAGGGTAGTTGTGAGGATAAAACAGGGAGGGGGCAGAACCATGGGCACCATCTCTGAATGCGTTAAATAGCTGCTTTTACAGATAATCTACATAAATGTTAGGAAATAAAGAAAAAAATCTTGAGCTCCTTGGTGGAAAAAGTGCTATATGAAATGCAATCAATCAATAAATAAATTGCTGGCAGCCACCCCTTGCTATCTTCCTTGATCCATTGTTCTTTTCCTGCCCACTGTCTGGACAGAAACCCACATGCAGCCTGCTACTACTAGAAGGCTAAAAAAAAGGTCCCACCCAAGACAGAGAAGCCGGCGGCTCACACTTTACCTCCCGACCGTCTACTGACGGAGCAGTTTTCCCCTTTCCCGAATCGAGCGCAGCCTGCCCAAGACCGTCTCCCATCTCCCGTCTTTGGGACTTGACTGGATTTTCCATGCATAAAGAATTGAGAAGAGGGTAAGCGGGGGGGACGGGGACAGGGGGGTAATCTGGGTGGCTGAAACTAAAGGTGTATGGAGGGGGGAAGGAGAGGGCATCCTGTGCCCATAAGAGGAAGATACTGGTTTCCAGATGAGGCTCTTCTTGCCCCTCCCTGCCTGCTTTGTTCCAGATGAGCAGAGCCAGTGGGAATGCGTGTGCAGGGGGTGGGTGGAGGGGTCCTGCACCATCAGCCTTTGGTGCTGCCTCAGTAACCCCGACAGCCCTAATCTCCATATTGATTCTGGGTCACGGACAGCAGTTTGGAGAGTCTCTCGTGCCTGCCTGGCCCGAAAACATTAAATCCCCAGTTAAGACTCCTGGCTCATGACATCACCCTAGCTCAGCAAATCCCATTCTGCTGGCCCAGGCTGCCTGATACCTTTGGCGTGATCAGCTCAGCCTACTGGGGAGAGATTTGTGGAAGTTGTAGGTTGGAGGGTGTCCTGTTCAGGATCTAGTTATTTCACTGCACACGCATGCTCTCTTACTCTCTGTTTTAGTGGAAAGCTCAGTAGTTAAGAGTACTGGCTCTGCATGCCAAAGGACCCAGCCTCAATCCCCAGCATCTTTTATTCAGAATCATGAAGCCTATAGTCTTACATTACATTTAGATGAAGGACAGTAATTCAGTGACGAAGCACCTATTCTGCATGCAGAAGGTCCCATGTTCAATGCCCAGTGGCATCTCCAGGTATAGCTGGGAAGGTTCCCTGCCTGAAACCCTGAAAAGCTGCTGCCGGTCAGGGTAGGTAATACTGAGCTAGATGGACCAATGGTTTGACTTGGTACAAAGCAACTTATTGGGATTCTGC